AACCTCACTGTTTTTAGGGCCGGAATTATGATGCCAACAAAGGATGAGACTGAGAGACTGGCAAGTGGGCATACAAACCTCATAACAGACAGACTCTACACCTAACTCCAACAGAGTAATCACCTGACATACTTTGTTCTTCTTCCCAGACATTTGTCATTATTAAACAAAGACCTGTCTTTTGTTCCAAGGCCCACTTGGAACAAATTTGAGTGGTCCAAATATATCAATGTCTTTGGCAGGAAACTGGCCTTAGATGTCATACACAAAAAAAGGACTCTAAAACAACTAAATAAATGGGTTTGAATATGGAAGATTTTGCTCATGCATAGACTCTGATAGAGTTACTGGATGAACACTGTGGTGGACCGCCTGGCATTCCGACCAGGTGCTTCCGCCAATCGATGCTCCTAGTGCTCACCGAGGACTCCAATCACTCCACCAGATACCATCAGCACCGTAGTCCCCACGTCCAATGTTACAGCTTGGCTAGGAACTACTGCACAAACTACTCCACCCACCCTGGACCAAAGACCAGGATCCAGCTTCCAGTGGGGGGAACCTCTCCTACTCCAGAGAGTATAGCAGGAATAGCTCTTATAAGAGCTAGTGATTATAATCCCAGGGGAGTATAGTGATATAGCAATCCCAAGAGCAGATACAGCTGTTCCCCCAAACCACAAGATAAGACTCTGTGTTTAATGGGACCATTTTGGCCTTTTTTGACAATCCCCATGCAAGGGGTATGTGGCGGAACCAGCCTCGCCACTGGGCATTGGAGAAGACTGATTGCCAGCCTCCTGCCCTGTGACTATGGCCCCTGAAATGTATTGCCCTTTAAGAAACTTATTTGGGCTTAATGGATTTTGAAACACTTTTTCTGCCCCTTTGGATACATGGGAAGGTGTGCCCCTCCCCCATTTCCTGTCTATTGTTCCCCAGCAGGGCGTTGTCCCAGGGACACTGCCAGACCAGTTGGAACTTGCTGTTTTGCCCCCCCCTTGCTGTTTTGCCCTTGCTATGGTTTAACCACATGGCGATTTGACTGTGTTCGTGGAATCTGAGCGCTGTTCTAGTCTAGTTCAGTAGTTTAAAAACGACATAGTCAATGTTCTTACCCTGGAGGTTGTTCCCCTCATCCAGACGAACTATCCCACCGAACAGTGCACTTCTAATTTGTATAGAATTGAATGCAAATGATGATGGAGGTCCAGCGGTGTTCGGGAGTTTCTGTGTTGAATTTTAGTTCCATGGAAATCATGTCCAAACACCGCTGCCTGGCCGCCACCTTGTGGTTGTCGATAGGAATTGCGGCCACCCAGACGAACAATTAGAACACTGCGGTGAGAAACGTTCCAAGTTGCTAATAGGTGTTAACAAGCTCCCTGGTTCGTGCGGTTGTTCGGTAGTCGAACGGGACAATGTTAAAATAGGAGGGGAATGCAAACTACCAAACAGAATATCCAAAAAGGCACGAACAAGGTATTTTATGAGCCTTTGTGCATGGTCCATAGTCCTGAGACAGGAGGCTGACAAGCAGGCCCCTCCAAGAACACATGGCGAGGTTACTTTCGCCACAAACACTGTTCCCAAAGACAGGTCTTAGACCTCACAGCTGGTTTACACCTAACATTATAGAGGTCCCTCATGTGGACCTGTTCATCCAGCTAATAACACTGGAACTTGAGAACAGTACCACTAATGATGCACCTGCACCAAATATGAACACAAGGCTCTAAAAGAACTCAGTGAAGCACATAACACTATAATTAAACCTGCCAATAAAGGTGGCAATTGTGGTGAAAGTAAGGGGCCTGCTTGCCAGCCTCTTGCCCCAGGACTATGGCCCATGTATTAGATCTTGGTTCAGGACTGTGAAAAGGTTTTGTTCATGCTTTTTCCCTGTTATGGTTCGGTATATGGGGCTTACCGAATGGATTGTACTTATTCTGTTCGGTTACCGAACAGTTGGACCACCCAGAACAGGAGTGTGCAACCCATTAACCTCCCTGACTTATGTTTAACCGCAATGTTATAAGTGGTTAGCTGGGTGGCCGTCATTCGTATGTGCGAAAACATGGCGGCGGCAATCTTTAGCCATGAACACATACAGCGGTGTTCGGTCGTCAAGTGCCTAGAACTATAATCAGACACGGGACTTCCATCTCTTCATACGTTCGACTGAATTCACTTGAGAAGAGCGGCGTTCGGTTTAAACACACTCCTGAACTAGAGACACAGACTGAGTATACATACGAACTGGTTGCATTCGTATTTTTGTTATATTGTAAACTACCGAACTAGACCAACCGCAAACCCTAATTCTCTGGAACTGTTTTGGGCATGGGACCATGCGTGTGGCCGGTCAAACTATGACTTCCAGGAAATTCCTGAACCCCTGAGCCAATCTTTGTGATTTCTGGATATGTTGGTCACCCAAATCGGGGCTATCAGGGGATGTAACTTTTGTAGGGGTTTTCTGTGTTTACATGTATTTTGGAGTTTTTGTAAAACTGTGACGAGACCAATCTTGCCACGGTACATTGGAGGAGCAGGGTTGCATGCCTGCTCCCTTGTGACTATGGACCGCCAGTTAAACAGTCTATTTTACTGTGCAGAAAGGCTCATGCATGCCTTTCTGCACAGCCGTTCGGTAGATTCTATCTACAGAACAAACAGCCATCTATTAGCCTCCCAGGAGCCTTGGGGAGCCGGCAGGCGCTGTTAATTGGCCGCCAAGAAGCCGGCATGCACCGCCAATCTACCTCTCTGAAGCCGCGGTTAACTGCGGCTTAACGAGCGTGCAGTTAATTGACCACCCAGTAGCTAGGTAGCGGTGTTATGGAGCTCCCCGGACGGCCAGTGGTGCTCAGCCCGGATTCAGTGCACTAAAAGCGGATACTTTTACGTGCAGGCACCGCTGAGCCCCCAGCCTTCCCTACTTCTATTCATGGCTATTTAACCGAACACCTGATTATTCAGGACTTTGTTTTATGTGAATGCTTTAACCCAGATAGCACAGCCATGGAGCCTATTCGTGTAATTAAAGACTTTGGTTCCATGGCAATTGAACTGTGTGTATAGGATCTGAGTGCTATTCGGTACAATATGTTTTATGTGAGAAATGTAACATTATGTATTTTATTGTATTTTAGTGTTTTAATGTAACCACGTGTGTAATGGCGATTTGCCTCAGTCCTGGGAGATAATTAGATTACTTCCAAATTATCCCCAGGATAGAGGGGAGGGAATTAGGAGGCATTGTGGGGATTTTTTACTTCTGCGCGTCTGCCATTGGTGTATGTCTGTCCCTTGTCACAGTCTCTCATTTGGTCCCCTAGGGGAGTGTCCGCCAGGTGGGAAACCTGCATAAATACTGGGAAGGTAGCCCTGAATAAACCAGATCAATGCTTGACCCTCAACACAGAGCTTTGTCTCGTCTTTGGGGGCATTTACTGTATGCTGTTAGAGACTGATTGACAGGAGTGTAAGCTGCTTGGGTGCTTTTCCTGTTCGTCTGCTAGCAGCTATTTGTGAGGTTCCAGTTCGGGAGTTTGGAGTGCTATTTTGTAGGCAGTTCGGGAGTTTGGAGCATTCCCTTGTATCCAGTTCGGGAGTTTGGTGTTCTGCAGTAGCTGTGCCTGTGTCTCTGGAAGGGAAGATCGACTAAACAGCGTTTTACCCCTTTTATGACACGGGGTGCCGTTACAAAAACATTATGTTTTCTGTGCCTGGAGATAATTGAGTTTACTACAGTGGATGACTCAATTATCTCCCAGGCACAGGAGAGGGATTATCTTATTATGTATGGGAGTGTCCTGGATCTGAGAGCCAATGTAATTGTGCATTTGTTTCTACTGTGGTTTACTCTCAGGTTCAGGGAGGAGTGCCCCCTGAATAGGTACCTGCATATAAGGTCAGTTGTGGCTACCATAAAACAAGTTCCTGTTTACCCTCAACATAGAGTCTCATCTCATGTGTAGGGGAAACGCCTGTATCTACCCTGGGGATTGCTATATCACTATACACCTGCTGTCCGTTGTCCGCACCCGTACGGCCAACTCACGCTTGCAGGACTTCTCGCAGGTGGCTCCCTTCATATAGAATAGCCTGCTTACCGCCGTCAGACTCTCCCCTAGTCTTGCATCTTTTAAGAAGTGCCTTAAAACTAGAGTTGAGCAAACCCAAACTGAAAAGTTTGGGTTCGTACTGAACATTAGGTTTTTTGGACCCCGGACCCAAACACGGACATATCACTGTATGTTCGGGTTGGAGTTCGGTCTTCTGCAATTTAATGACGCATTTGCAAGGGCTGTAGGGCAGCCAATCAACAAGCGTTTGACTCGTGTGCCCTTAGAAGCCATCACAGCCATGCCTACTAATGGCATGGCTGTGATTGGCCAGTGGAGCATGTGATCCAGCCTCTATATAGAAGCTGGAGTCGCGTAGCGCCGCACGCACATGCGGTCTTATTAGTGTAGGGAGAGGATGCTGTCACTGATAGGGACAGCTTAGGAAAGAATTCTGCAATCTAGTACATTAGTGGGTTGGGGTGCACTTCATATCTGAGAGTCAAACAGAAGCTTCAAATACCGCGGTTACATCAGAGTTTTAAAAAGTAAATATTTTTGGGTGCTAAATAGTACATTAGTGGGGTAGTACATTAGTGGGGTGCACTTCATATCTGAGAGTCAAATAGAAGCGTCAAATACTGCTTTCACATTTCAGTTTTAAAACTTAAAATTATTTGGGTCCTAAACTGCTAAATAGTATTTTTGTGGGGTGCACTTCAAATATGAGAGTTAAATAGAAGCGTCTAATAGTGTGCTTACAGCGCAGTGGTAAACATTCTTATTTTCTGGGTGCTAATCTGCTAAATAGTACATTTTGGGGCATGCACTTCATATCTGAGAGTCAAATAGAAGCGTCTAATAGTGCATTTACAGGGCAGTGGTAAACATTCTTATTTTCTGGGTGCTAATCTGCTAAAAAAAAGTACGCGCCTGCTGCCTTCCTTGCATGTGGTAGCCGATTCTCAGGGTCCCTGTACAGAATGGAATCCTGATTCCCCATTACCCGTGGTCACCATGGTAGGCGCATTAACTGGCATCGAAAGTTGATATGAATAACATCCGCATGCAAAGTCGCTGTCACTGGGATGGTCTTGGATCCATGGTGGGTGGAAGACAGCAAGACCCCAGCCAAGCTTTAATGTGGAAAGTGGGGACTACAGTGCTGATGGTGTCTGGAGGAGTGCTTGGAAGTACTCAGAGGTACTAGGAAGCAGCGATTGGTGGAGGCACCCAGTAGGAGTGCCAGGCGATCTGTCACAGCAATATACTACTGTTACAATGACCTTCAATGTTATCAACTGACCCAACAACCACCTTCTTATTGGAATTGAATGATTTATTGTCCAGTGCCCACAGAAATAATTTGATCAGTTCACAGGAATATAAATCCTTAGCTCATCCTAATCCTACAATAGCTACATTTTACTGCTTTCCCAAGGTCCTCAATAAACTCATGAACCCTCTCGGCAGGCCCATAGTATCTTGGAACAAAAGCCTTACTGAGCAACCAAGCAAGTTCATCAATAGGCTTTTACACCCTCTGGTCAAACAATTACTCTCATACCTTCAAGACATGAAGGACACCCTATTGGCCTTGGAAAATCTTCAGACTCCTCCCTATACCCAATTAGCAGAACTAGGCACAGTTTTTTCTTTAGAAAAATCCCACGAATGGTCCTCAGCTGTACTTAGCCGCTACAACTATGGAACTAATTTCATCATGAGAACTTTGTGTTTCCCAATCATCTCAGTGGTACTTAGCCATGGATATTTTGGAACAGTTTTCATCATGAGGTGACCACGTGGATCCCGGACAACTTGGTCCAGAGTTTAAAACCACTGCGACCCACCAGGAGATCGTTTTTTTTTTAGGGAAGATGTTTGAGACTAAGGGGAACAAACACTACCCGAGAACCAGTCAGAGCACCCCATATTGCGGCCGCAGGAGCTCGTGAAATTTTACCGGCCAAAGCACACATTGCTCTGAAACTATTTTGGGCATAGGACCATGTGTGCTGCCAGTCAGAACTTTGACACAGTGGCGTTTCCCCTATACTGCATGTATCTGTGTGTGATTTGGACAGCTTCGGAGCGCAGATCAGGGATGTAGGACCCGTGGTGTTATTTATTTATTAGTTATTGTTTTTATATGTTTTGGGGTACTTTTATGTTTTTGTGTTTGGCTCTCTTTTATTCAGAAATAATTAGCTTACCGTCTTTAACTCTATTATCTCCCAGGCACAGAGATCTCTGGGAGGGGCTTGTATTGTATTGTTTGGAGACCCCATGCTGGGGGTCGTGTATATAAACTGGCAACATGGCCTAAATAAATGAGTTCCTATTCACCCCTCACTCAGTCTTGACCAGTGTTTGGGTGGTTCAGCTATACAGCTATACTCTCTGCAGGAGAGCTTAAGCACTTGAAGCTGCATCCAGAACCCTGTTCCAGTGTGGGAAGTGACGGCGAGACCCCAGCTAAGCTGTGGATGCTAGGAGCTGGAGCGCTGCTGGTTTCCTGGAGATAGCTAGGGAGCGTGTTTGGCGTAGGAGTAGCCAGTCGGGGTACCAGCCAATCTGCCACAGTCATGATACATTTTATGGTTTTAAACACTCATATTTGTATTCAGCGAAGTCTCCCAAGTATCATAGTACCCACCATGCAAAGGTTTAAGTGTTTTGGAAAGTTACACGGTTAAATACAGGGCTGGCAAATTAAATTAAATTAAAAGATGCCAAAAAAACAGAGTATTGCAGTATGTAATAATACCTTCTTTATTGAATTAACATAATATTTTCACTTTTGCCTAGTAAAACTCTTTGCTAGGCAGGTGCACTGAGCAATTGCCTGCCTCTTGAGCTAAACTATCAGGAACTATTTTTTATTGACAGTCAGGAGGGTTTAACAAAGTTAATTTATGAATGTGCTAATTTCTTTTGAAATCATTTTTGTAAAATTAAAAATATAGAAAACACTCTTCTCATATGAAGCATTTCAGTAAGCTAAAATGCTTTAGGTGTTTTTCAAACATGGCTCTGTATTACAGTGACAATCTCCCTTACACCCATGAGGTACAATAAAATCGGTGTTAAACCTTCACATGCAGAACACATTATTTCACATGCTGAGGGAATTTTAACTACATGAAGCATTAAAATTAAGTTAAAGGATCAAGCAAGACTATTGCACCCTTAATGTTAGTATAACCTTATATAACTAAATGTTTGCTATAGGTTGGGCTGAAATTATTTTAAAATTCTTCATTAAAAATTTCAAAGACAAGCTTTCGAGAATTTTCTTTCTTCCTCAGGTCTGAAGCAAGAACTAATCAATCTAAAAAAACAAAACAAAAAAAACCAAGATTGTCATCTAGATATTTATGTTTGTAAGCTTTTTTGCATGAAGAGGCCTCCATAGTAATTAATGGAAGAAGTTTAAATATCTAAAGTTAGAATTGTTTTTCTAATTCATAATTTTCTGCAAGTATATATGTCTATAGATATAATGCAAAGGTCTGCATGTTTTCTTAAATATTTGTTTGCATTCAAACACTTTCTAGACCTTCTCTTCAGTCCCTCTGTCATTTTCTGGCTTTTGATTTTGCTGTACAAGAAATTAATAATGACAAAAACCTTCTACCAAACACCACCCTGGGGTATTCAATATATGACACTTGCATCTTTCAAGATAAAGCACAGGAAGTCACACTAAAAATTCTATCAGGAGGAAGCAAGCACCCCTTCAATTATAAGTGCAACAAAAAGAATACAGTTGTGGCTTTCATTGGACATTTATTCTCTTCAGTAACACGCTCAGTGGCAGACCTCCTCTCCATCTATGGCTACTCACAGGTGAGAGAATTAGTATTCTTTTTTTTTATTATTTTTTTTGCCTTGTTATAAAATATTCCATTATAGATCAAGCTAAAAACATTTGGCCTAATGACTGAAATGAGCATACGTTTTAATGGTAGACATGTGGCTATTGAAACTACAGAAGAGTTGCTTTAAAGCAGTCAACTAAGTGCTATGAACCAATGCACATAGGACACATCCATTACAATGTAACAAACTTAATTATACTGAAAAGCAAACAGTTGCTCCATCATTTGGCGTCATTTGGCATGGGACACACATAGTAGCAACATGAGAGATTGAAAGGAACACACCAACCACATTTTAATAGTTTAATAGATACACCACCAATTACAATATGCATGCATTTATTGCTGCATTTTTTTCACTTGAACAAGCTGCAAGATTTGCTTTCTGCAGCCTTTGTAAGCACTTCTATTTTTTCCAAGTACAAACTGTATGTTGCTGTCCAATCACAGACTTCCCAATACAGCTCAATGAGAAGTCTTTGCTAGGCAGATGCACTAAGCAATTGCTGCCTCTTGAGCTAAACTATTGGGAACTATTTTTTATTGACAGTCAGGAGGGTTTAACAAAGTTATTTTATGAATGAGCTAATTTCTTTTGAAATCTGTATTTTTTTCTAAAATTAAAAATATAGAAAACACTCTTCTCATATGAAGCATTTCAGTAAGCTAAAATGCTTTGGGTGGTTTTTTTTTTTTTGTGTTCCTTTAAACATAACCAAACATGGCTCTGTATTACAGTCATAATCTCACTTACACCCATGAGGTACAATAATCGGTGTTAAAACCTTCACATGGAGAAAATATTATTTCACATGCTGACTGGTTTTGCAGAGAGAATTTTACCTGCATGAAGCATTAAAATTAAGGTAAAGGATCAAGCGAGACTATTGCTCCCTTAATGTTAGTATAACCTTATATAACTAATTGTTCACTATAGGTTGTGTTGAAATTATTTTAAAATTATTTTTTTCTTTTATTTTTATGTACATTCTTTGCTGGCATGATATGTAAGTGAGTTAGCTGAGTGCATATAAAGGAAGTATTCATGAAGCCAAGCCATAATAATTCAAGAAAACATACCATAATTTATACTGCAAAGGGGAGTCTAGTAATCTTAGTCTTTGAAACAGAAGCCAAAGTTGTTTCTAGACATCAGTCTGTGTTCTTTAGATTTGTGAGAAATCTTATAAGGATGCTTGTGTCACTAATAGATCAAAGGTAGGCTTCAATTTAAAATAATTAATGTAAACTGACAGCCACTAGAGGCATTTTTTCATTGATGGCTTTCAATTATGCGCTGCATGTTGCTACATAACACAGTAAACACATCTCATAGAGTAGCAATAGATTCAGTGCTTCTCTACGAGAAGTATACAGTTCGCTAGGCACAGGGATTGCTTGGCCCAGTCAGTCTCCAATGCTTCTCTGCAAGTAGCATTGGATTGCATCAGAGATAATAAGTGGAAGAGGAGACTGCCTGCTAGTGGATTACAGGTGAACAACCTTTTTTATTTTAAAAAGGGGAAAACAAAAATCCCCATAAATTCTTTAACAATAAAATTAAGTACATTTTTAATATTAATGTTATCATTTACTTTACTTTTTATTTGACAGATAACTTACGGAGATAACATTGAGAACTTCCATGACCGAGTTTCCTATCCATCACTTTTCCATATAAGCCATGGGTTCAATGTATATAGTAATGCAATTATTGCACTGCTGAAACACTATAATTGGACATGGATTGGAATACTATACTCATCAAAGGACACTAGCGAGGCAGCAAGCCAGCATTTTAGAGAAGAGAGTATTAAAAATGGAATTTGTGTTGAATTTATCCTAAACACACCAGAAATAATTAATACTTTTAGGTACACATCAAATGTTATTATTATATTTTCACTTGAAGGCTACCTGGAAAGCATTTTAAATGTTTTTATATCACCACTTAAACTCAGAGAGAAAATACTAATTTTATCATCAGACCCATATACCGACGAATATTGTAAAAACAATAAATTATGTGTATTTTTGAACAGAACGCTTCTCTTTATGCCAACTAAATCATATATTCCAGGTTTCAAAGAATTTTTCTATAATGCTAGCCCTACAGTTTATAAGAAGAGTATACTCTTACAACGAGTTTGGTTGCAGTATTTTAGCTGTCTTCCAACAGCTGATTATGATATAGATGTCAGATATCTGTGCAAGAAAAATTTCTCACTCCGTTCAATTCCTAACATGGAGTCTGATGCTGAAAATGATCAGGCAACATATAACATATACATGGCAGTCCATGCAATAGCTCATGCTTTGCATAAAATGTATATCAACAAATCTAATAATGGGAGGATTGAACATTATCACTCAAGACAGGTAGGTGTTCAAATTCGGAGAAAATGTATCAATTCATTACAAAATAGAATGTTCAAAAATGATAAAATACTTAAAAATAATAATATATTATTCTGGAAGGAGAATTTAGATTGTAGAAACATGTTACTGTACAAACTAATAACTGAATAACTTTGCTAAACCAAAATATGATGCTTCAAAATGTAAGGTTTATTCAGGCACACCAAAGGCAACATTTTATCTTTGATTAGGTCTTTGTCAAGTTATTTTATTTTATTTTTTACTTAAATGTATTTATCATTTCTCTTTGCATATTATTTTAGCTGAGTAAATATTTAAGAAGCCTGCATTTCAACACATCATCTGGAAAAGATTTTTATTTTCCGGAGACAGAAAATGCTAACGTACATTTTGAATTGATTCAGCATATAATAGTTGAAAACAATGTAGTTAAAAAAAATCATGTTGGAGATTACATTTTGCCTGAGAAAGGAGAAACAAAACTCTTAATCAATGAGAGCACAATTGCATGGTCATCAAACTTTCATAGAGTGAGTAATATTTAGAGAAGCAATAAATATTTTTGTACTGTCCACTCATGCATGAGCTATGTAAAAGCAAAAATCTATTAATTGTTGAGTAATATATGTAAGACAAAATAAAAAAGATCCAATGGTGGAGTATATTTCGAAACTGAATAAGAAAAAAAAAGACAATACATTTTACAAAGATTCAGGCCAGCTCTGTGGTGTAAGCTTGAGCAGTACAATCCTTGCCTTCGGATATATAGATACAGTGGTACCTCGGTTTACAAACGCCTCGGTTAACATCATTTTTGGTTTACAAATGAAAATCCATTGAAAATAATGCCTCGGTTTACAAAAAATTTTTCGCAATACAAAGCATGTTTCCCCAGGATGCATTGTGCCTGAAAGGTTTATAGTGCCGCCCCATGCATGCTGCAGTCTCTGGGTAGCACGTGGCGTTGAGTGTGGAGGTGTTGGAGATGTTGGATCGTGGAGCGGAGACACTTACCATGTGGTCTGCAGCTCGGCACGTGGTGGAGCTGCAGACCAGATAAACAGATCACCGAACCACAAGGGAAAGCTGCCCACCTACAGCAGGGAAAGCTGCCCAGTGGACCACCAAGGAATAGATAAAAAAGAAAAGAAAAAAAAAAGGTATTTCTTATAGGAAAACCCCTCTCCACACTCTATATCACACCCATCCACACTATATTGCCCCCCGATTCACGTTATATCGCCCCCCCCACACTATATTACCTCCTACACACTATATAACCCCCTTCTCCACATTATATCACCCCCTCCACAATATATCACCACCCTGCTCCCCACTAGATTACCCCTCTACACTATATCACTCATTCCACACTATGTCACCTCCTCCACACTATATCACCTCCCCTCCACACTATGTCACCCTCTCCACACTATGTTACCCTCTCCACACTATGTTACCCCTCCACACAATGTCACCCCCTCCATGCTATGTCAACCCCCACCACACTATGTCAACCACCTCCCCTCCACACTAGATCACCCCCAGCTCCACACTATATCACCCCTCCACACTATGTTATCCACCCAGCTCCGCACTATATCAACACTCCACACTATGTCACCCCCTCCACACTATGTCACCCCCCTACACCCACACTGTCACTCCCCCTCCACACTATGCCACCCCCTACACCTACACTGTCACTCCCCCTCCAAACAGACTCTTACCGCAGTCACCCCCACTTCACACACGTGTTCCTGACTTTAACACACACACTGTCACCCCTCCCCCCCACACATGGTAACCATCCTTCACCCTGCCACCTTTACTACTCCTGATCCTGTCACACTTTTATTACTGTACTTTTTGACATAAACCTACATTTCTATAAAAATTTAAGTTTTAGTTTTTTGTGGCCCACATAAACTTAAACCTTGTTTGTGGCCCATGTTAGCCTTTGAGTTTGACATGTTTGCTCTAAAGCATTAACCTTATTATGCATAGTTTTATGTCATAAATCATTATTTAACATCACCACAAGTGGGTTATATGTGAAAGGGTGAGTGCGGCATTGTTGGAGGGGAGGAGAGTACGGAATTGTTGGAGTGGGTGAGTGTGACAGGATCAGGAGGGGTTAAGATGGCAGGGTGAAAGAGTGGCAGGGTGTGTTAAGGTGGTGACCATGTGTGTGAAGAGGGGGTGACTGGGGTGAGAGTGTGTGTGGAGTGGGGTGACAGTGTGGGTGTAGGGGGGTGACATAGTGTGCATAGTGTGGAGGTGGATGACATAGCTGAGGGGGTTATATAGTGTGGAGCTAGGATGGTGACATTGTGTGGAGGGGTGAAATAGTGTGGAGCTGGGGGATGATATAGTGTGGAGCTGGGGAGGTAATATAGTGTGGATGGGGTGTAGAGGGGGGTGACATAGTGTGGAGAGGTGACATAGTGTGGAGGGGTGACATAGTATGGAAGGGGTGATATAGTGTGGAGCAGGATGGTGGTAGTGTGTGGAGTGGGAGATATATTGTGGAGAAAGGGGGTGATATATACATACAATATAAGGTGGAGAATATAAACAATAATTCTTCCAGTGATAGATGTGAGAACATTTTCCTTTAGTAGTTCTTCCTAAAGTTTAAACATAAATAAAAAGACATAGTGCAATATAGCCAATTCTCGGTATATTAGTGCAATATATAGGAGGTAAAGCACTCACAAACACGGAGCCAATGTAAAGGCTCAAGGATGTAGCTCTGTGGGTACTACAGGGACCCACTTCCTTCATGCTACTGTCTGTGGTGTCCAAATGATAGGATGTCCTCTCAGGATGTAACAAAAATAAAGTGCTTTATTTGAAAGTGCACAAAAGTAACATAAAATGTATTAAAATAAATGGAAAACCTTACAGTCTCAAAGGTTGGTCCTTGTATAAGGTGCAAAACGTATTTCGCCTCGTTTAGATGCTTTCTCAGTTGCTGGTTTGTGTTGTTGGGTGGTCCGTTTTAAATATCCCCCCCTTTGGCGGTCTTTTTCGGCGTTCTTAGCCGGCCGTGATTAAATTCCAATTCCGCTTCCGGTTTCGGCTTTTGCGTTCAGGCCGTGGAACACAAACGTCACGTGACGCACTCTGTGAAACGCAGGCGTCACGTGACGCACTCTGGAATGCTTACATGCGTTTCAAAGCTCCGGTCCTCGATAATTAAGTCCTTCTCCAGAAAAAAGGGGCTCATGTCACAGTCTTTATATAAAAAGAAGCATACTCCATATGTGTTATATGTTAGTCCTTTTCCCTCTAGGTGAATACATAAACTAATAAATATCTTATAACAATATGTATACTTATAAAGAAAAATAGCATCACTATGAATAATATAGATGGAAGAACAGATTAATAAATTCATTCATATTAAGATTAAGATCAATTAAAATCAATATTATAAAAATCAATAATATTAAAATAAATAAACATTATAATAATTTCATATTTGTATGAGGAAAAAAAAAATTAAATAAAATTCTCAAAAAGTTTATAAAATTATTATTATTATTTTACGTGTCAGTCTCTTCATTTACCTGTCAGAGCACTCTGATTGGATGGCTTAAACCCACCAATCAGAGTGCTTTGAGCCTAACTGCAGGGTGGGGCAAGGCTTTATAAGCCCTGCCCCGCCCTGCAGAGCTCAGTCTGTGTGGAGCCCGCCATCGGTGAAGATGGATTATATTTTTTGCGCTTGGGTTTTTTTTTTTTTTTTTTCAAAGAGTGACGGTCGTTAAGGATTTTTATTTGGCCTTTTCTGGGGCTGAAAAAAGAAGATTTTAGAAAAAAAGAAGATATTAAATGGTAAGTTTAATTTTTATTTCTTTTCAGGTACCTAGTCCCGAAGTTCCGAAGTTCTGAATTGCCGAAGTCCTGAATTTCAGAATGCTGAACCTAACTGAAAATTTTCCCCATGCACATCCCTATTACCTAGCACTTATTATGTTGGTTACTTGCCTGTGACCAGTCTACATTAATCCCCTAATATTTATCACTGCCACTCTAGAATTATCCTTTTAAAGCCCCTGTTGAGAAGAAGATTACAAAAAATTATTAACATGTGTGCTGAATTGAAGCATTTATTACATTTTAAAGCTATACAGGCACTTTTATTCACACAACATTATTATTAACATACCTATTATAACCAAAGAAATTGTTGTGGCCCACCATAATGCTTAGGCACTGCAACAAAAATGTTTAACCAGCTTCATGTTACAGATTCTTCAAGACATACCCAACTCCAAACCAAACAAATAGTAAATGCATTTCACCTATTGCTATCAGTCACTACGTAACATCAGTTCCAAACATCTGACCCACACATGATTATTATTATTATTATTTTATTATTTATATAGCACCAACAGATTCTGTAGCGCTATACAATAGGTGGACTAACAGACATGTAATTGTAACCAGACAACTGGACGTCCAGGAACAGAGAGGTGGAGGGCCCTGTTCAATTAGTTACATTCTAGAGGGAGTGGGGTATAGTGACACAAAGGGTAAAATTAGGGGTATGAAGTAGATTGTTAGACAAGTATTCACTGAGGGCTTAGTAGGTCATTTTGACAGTTGCAGGAGAGGAGTAATGGGGGGTGGGGGATAAAAACCTGCTAACAGTTTAATTGCTTTCATGAAGAAGTGAGTTCTCAATGATTTTTTGAATGAGTCTTATGGAGAAGGGAAGGGAATTCCACAGAGGAGGTGCAGCCCTGGAGAAATCTTGGCGAGCATTAGAGGTGGGAGTACGGACATAGGATATTCGCAAGTCTTTGGCAGAGCATAGGGGCCTCGACGGGACATACTTGTGTATTAGGGAGGATAGGTAGCTTGGAGCAGCATTATGTAGGGACTTCTAAGCAAGCACCAGAATTTGAGCCCTATATCTAACTGGAAGCCAATGCAGGGACTGACAGAGCGGGAAGGTGTGGGAGGTGCGAGCAGACAGGAAAATGAGCCTCACCACCACCTTCATTATAGATTGCAATCTGGGAACATGTAAGACCACTGAGAAGGGGATTGCAGTAGTCAAGGCGAGAGAGAACAACAGCATGGACCAGCACCTTAGCCGCATCTGATGTTAAATAGGGGCAGATGCACGCTATGATTTTGAGATGGAAGCACAGGATTTAGCAATTGATTGGACATGAGGGGTGAAGGAGAAGTTGGAGTCAAAAAGAACACCCAGGCAGCGAGCCTGCGAGGTAGAGGTGACGGTAGCGCCTTTGATAACATGATACTCCAAAAATTCTCCCTTCACTGTGCCAAAAAAAACTGGGCAACCCATTTACCTAAATGAACTTAATCAAGTCATTAAGGAGGCTCATTCTATTGAAAACTATATAGGACTTCCTACAATAAAATGTTTCCAAAGGCTTCCCATATGCACATCCACTGACGAAAATTACTTGTAAATGTAGATGTAAAATTATTCACAAACCGTACAGAGGCTTTCTCCCACTTCTTCGAAGGCTAGTTCACTATGATCAGACCTGATTTATAACTTTCCATGGAACAAACAATACTATTATTTATCAGTTTTCTCCATAATGTCACACTACTGTCCTTTCTTTTTTGCTTTATAAAAAGGGTTTTTATAAGGTGGACTGATATCTACAATTTGAAAGTCATTTAAAAAATAAAAAAGAGAAGTATTGGAATTTAACATACATTGATCTAAAATGTCTCAATTCAAATGATTTTCAATGGACGAAACAGTCCATCAAATGTCTAGGTATATGTTTTACATCTTTAAAGCTCAATTTGTCTCATTATAAAAAACTGATTCTTGCCCAGCTTGTTGAAGTGGTAGAATTGACATCATAATTATCATTATTTTGCCCAGAATACTAGTTTTAATTTAAATACTTTAAGAACTGGTTTCATCCACTTTCTTAATTTTTTTTACTTGGGCTTTTAGTTTCCTTTTATTTTTCAAAATTCCTGTATTTAGGCCAAAAAACCTAAAACACAATTACCATATACAGTACCATCTTCGTGAGACCTAAAGACTTAGGCAGATTATGTATTACAAACATTTACGTCTATTATCTAACTTCTATGTTATATAATGCCATGCTATACAATTTGTAAATGGTCTAGAAACGATTCTACTAAAATTTTGTGGAAGGTTCTTTCCTGCAAGTATCCCTGTATACAGCACTGCTGCATTCCCTTGACAACTATCTCCCCTACTTTACTACTTGAGACAGATATGGGTTTAAAGGGACTTACATCTGAACAAAACTTATTTTTGCCCATTGCCCTTTCATCTTTTCTTTCTTTTGGCTTATGACTGGAATCCTTTGCTCACAAGAGATATGAGTCTCTTTCTGACATCCTTAAGGATACTAAATTATCCCTCTCTCTGACATTATAAGATGATGAACACCTAGTCAACCTGAATATTATAAATATTGCGAACTGAAACATTTTATTTTTTATATTCATGATTATGCTACAGGTAGTCGACAACCAACACAACTTGTTTTCCCATCATAATCTATATGTGTTTACTGCATTGCTATTATTGATACAGTAGCATACTTGCCTTTTCTGCATGGCTTTCAGAAAAACAAAAAAAACAAAAACTAAAGTAGCCAAGTAGTGGCTATAAAACGTTTTTCCTTGTCAGTTGTTTAGATTCTGATTGCCTCAGTTCAGTTTATTGAATAACCCTGGCTGTATATTTGTTTTCTAGGTCCCTCAATCTAAATGCAGTGAGACATGCCCACCTGGGTACAGAAAATCCAATCCAAAACAAAAAATATGCTGCTATTCTTGTGTTCTGTGCTCTTCTGGTGAAATATCCAATCAAACTGGTATGCAAAACTAATAAATGGTTTCTATTTTATCATGTTAAATTGTCATTTTTGTTGCTTTTATGATTGGTCCTTTATTGTGAAATCATGTGTGTGGTGGTACATTTTATTTTTTGAAAATGTTATGATACTAACACTCATGAATGCAATAACCCAGTTTCGTATATGGTAAATCTGCAAATCAGGTGATTTTAACACAATAATTCAGTGTGAAAATAGACTGCAGCTTTTGAAATAGACATTGATTTGTGGTGAATTACAACCATAATGCTAAATTTAGAGTTAAGAAAAAAGAAATCAATAAACAAAATATTAAAGGGACTCACTCATCATTTTGAAGGCTTTGGCTTCTTAGTCCTGAGATATTTTTCTCACAATTCAAATTCATATAGTTTTGTTAAAATGGAAAAAAAGCATTTTAATTTTCTGCAGATTAACAGGCTGATTAGTGATGACCCCTTTTCACACATTATGCATCTGTACTGACCTCTGCCTCTCTGTATGCAGTTCAGACACGGAGAGCAATGTAATCTAGGCAACTGGGAGCCAAAGGCTGTAGAATGGAGGAAGAGGACAGCGAGCCATGTTGGCTGGTGAAGTTTTAACAACTCCATATCTGGATATTACAACACCATTTATTTCTATAAACGTATCACATTGAAACAAATTTTAAAAAATATATGTTAATGTCCATTGAAAATGATGAGTTTACTCTCTCTTCCTAGAAATTCTTTATAGACTGAGCAGATACTTTTTTTTGGATGATATTTGAATTATGAATTGTAAAATGATAAAAATATTTTTTTTTTAAATATTGGTGGTGGATCCTGTTGTGTATCAGTGCAGACGTTTGATCACCTGGCTCAGTAACATTAGGTGACTGCAATGGGAAGTGGCTTCTTAAATATCCTAACACCAGTGAGATCCCATTTAGCTTAACGTTTAATGCAGGTTTGTATATTGATTAAAAAAAATGCTTAGCCAGTTAATACAAACAAAATTGTATCACAAAGCAGAATCTTTGGGATTCCAGAATTGAAGATTGTGCAGTACCTCAATATACAACACTATTTGCACATTCACACTACAGATAATGACTTAACAAACACGGCAGACAAGCGGTTAAATTTAACACCCATACACGCTGCAGACAAGAGTTTAAAACATGAATCTAGCATTTGTCCCAAATAGAAGGAATTGAGACTTGCCTGTCAGGGTATATAATTGGCTGGCTTCCAAGCCAACTAATTACTACATTCTTACTGAAATTCTTCAGGTGGGAAGGACTTTGTAAGGGCTTTTATCACCTTGAATCCATAGTCTGTGTGAAGCTCTCAATATGCCCACCTTGATTGTGTTTGCTGGAATCATTTTGCAATCTCATTGAAAAAATAGTCAAATTTTGACTACAAAACCTTACTGAATATACTGAGGAAAGTCGTGCTCCAAATATGTTACAGCATATGTTGCTCCCTATACTGGAACCTCACACGTAAACAATCACATCTGTCGTCTACTGGAGGATATTTCAGATTTCTGTTGCATAGTCTCTAGTGTGGAACCAAATATTTAATAAAAAAGTGGCACAATTTGTTTGATAAATATGCATTGTACAAGTGTATATATGTAATTGTTAATGCATTGTAATTTCTAATTTCAGATATGGATAATTGTCTTGAGTGTACTGAGGATGAATATCCTGACACCAATCAAGTCTTTTGTCTGCCAAGAACCATTGATTATTTATCCTACCATGAATCTCTTGGTGTAATGTTGGCATTGTTTGCAATAGTGTTATTTTTTACTACAGCTGCCATACTTGGCATTTTTATAATGTACAGACATACACCCATAGTACGAGCCAATAATAGGTTTCTAAGTTACGTCATCCTCTCTTCTCTCATGTTTTCTTTCCTCTGTCCCATGTTATTCATTGGCATTCCTGTGAAGATCACATGCTTGCTTCAGAATGCTGTTTTTAATATTATATTCGCTATTACATTGTCATCAGTTCTGGCAAAAACAATTACAGTTTTAATAGCCTTTTCTGTTGTTAAGCCAGGAAGCAAGTTCAGAATATTTTTGGGATCGAGGGTATCCATCTTTATAGTTTTGTTTTGTTCCTTTAGTGAAGTTGGAATCTGCTTCTGGTGGTTAACATCCTGGCCTTCATTCCCAGACAAAGACTCACAATCAGCAGTTGGGAAACTAATACTTCATTGCAATGTTGGCTCTCTCCTTTTGTTTTATGTTGCTCTTGGTTATAATTGGTTCCTGGCACTTTGTAGTTTTATTGTAGCTTTTCTAGCCAAGCAGTTGCCAGATCTATTTAACGAGGCTCGTTATATCACTTTCAGTATGATTGTGTTCTGCAGTGTTTGGGTCTCATTTATCCCAGCATATATGAGCACCAATGGGAAATACATGCTTGCTGTAGAAATATTTGCTATCCTGGCTTCCAGTGCAGGGGTTCTGGGATGTATATTTTTTCCTAAGTGCTACAGTATCATTTTAAGGCCTAAAATAAACAATAACCATTCTTTACGCAAAACAGGTTTCTAATAGGTGCTTGTTTGGCCTATAGTATAAGAAGAAGCCAACTGCTTATGATGAATCATCAGTCCTTCTTTGTGACTACAGTTTACTTTAGAATACCAACATAGGATTCCAAACAACAAAAGTTAAAAAAATTGGATATGGGTGCATTGGCGCTATTGAATTGGGAGAGATGCAGCAACCCTAGTGTCAATAATCACACAGAAGACACTACATAAAGTGCAAAAAAAAGTACAAAATACAGGGTGCGCAATTAAAAACACCACCACACAATGTGATATACTTATATCAAGGAGGACCTTACAATTTGTCTTTAGTTATCTGTAAAATACAAAACTGTGGGGGCGGAGCCAAGCAGCCGAGCTGAATGGCCGCGCATTTTCTGAGCGCTGACCACGGAACCCATAAACATACTTCACAAGACCCTAAAATCAAGCTATCCACAACCGTCGAACCCCCCACGAGACAGTGGACACACCATGGGTCGCAAATCTAAAAAGATGAAGCCAGAAAAACCACGGATGGGCTTCGATATCAGAGACATGCTGCGGCAGGCAAGTGGAGTGACAAGACCAAAGATGGCCTACTACCCAGCAACGTACTCTGAACTCTCAGACGACATGTCCCCTGATGAGGAAAGCGAGATCCCCCTTGGGAACCCAAGAGTAGCACAAAAGCACACCGACCAAGACAATGCACCAGTGACGGCGGCAGTGCTGAAAGCACTCCTGGCGGATCTCAAGAAGAGCATCCAAATGGACCTCGCATTACTCTGCACAGGCAGAATGGCGGTGGTGGAAGCCGTGTCTGATACCTAAGCCCAACAGATTGCCACACTTCAGGAGGCCATCAGGGGGCTCCAGCGACACAGTAAACAGGCTGAATGCCGCTTCTCCGCCATGGAAGACTGGAGGCGGAAAAACAACATTAAAATTAGGGGTATCTCGGACGAAGTGCCGACGGCGGAATTACCGCTCTTCCTAAGGCACCTACTAGGCACTATACTTACCCCACGACAAGGCAAACTGGTGGGAATTGATGGGTTCTTCCGGGTACCAAAGTCCCCACGAGCACCGGACAACGTACCAAGGGACATGGTCCTCCAGCTAATGAGCGGGAAAGATAAAGCAGCGGTGATGGCGGCGGTCAGAGACCACGCGCCATATAAATTTGAAGACATGTCTCTCACTTTCTTCCCGGACCTATCAGGGAGCATACTAGCTTGGAGATGATCGCTCCGACATAGAAACATAGAAACATAGAAACATAGAATGTGACGGCAGATAAGAACCATTCGGCCCATCTAGTCTGCCCAATTTTCTAAATACTTTCATTAGTCCCTAGCCTTATCTTATATTTAGGATAGCCTTATGCCTATCCCACGCATGCTTAAACTCCTTTACTGTGTTAACCTCTACCACTTCTGCTGGAAGGCTATTCCATGCATCCACTACCCTCTCAGTAAAGTAATACTTCCTGATATTACAGGGAGTGCAGAATTATTAGGCAAGTTGTATTTTTGAGGATTAATTTTATTATTGAACAACAACCATGTTCTCAACGAACCCAAAAAACTCATTAATATCAAAGCTGAATATTTTTTGAAGTAGTTTTTAGTTTGTTTTTAGTTATAGCTATGTTAGGGGGATATCTGTGTGTGCAGGTGACTATTACTGTGCATAATTATTAGGCAACTTAACAAAAAACAAATATATACCCATTTCAATTATTTATTATTACCAGTGAAACCAATATAACATCTCAACATTCACAAATATACATTTCTGACATTCAAAAACAAAACAAAAACAAATCAGTGACCAATATAGCCACCTTTCTTTGCAAGGACACTCAAAAGCCTGCCATCCATGGATTCTGTCAGTGTTTTGATCTGTTCACCATCAACATTGCGTGCAGCAGCAACCACAGCCTCCCAGACACTGTTCAGAGGGTGTACTGTTTTCCCTCCTTGTAAATCTCACATTTGATGATGGACCACAGGTTCTCAATGGGGTTCAGATCAGGTGAACAAGGAGGCCATGTCATTAGATTTTCTTCTTTATACCCTTTCTTGCCAGCCACGCTGTGGAGTACTTGGACGCGTGTGATGGAGCATTGTCCTGCATGAAAATCATGTTTTTCTTGAAGGATGCAGACTTCTTCCTGTACCACTGCTTGAAGAAGGTGTCTTCCAGGAACTGGCAGTAGGACTGGGAGTTGAGCTTGACTTCATCCTCAACCCGAAAAGGCCCCACAAGCTCATCTTTGATGATACCAGCCCAAACCAGTACTCCACCTCCACCTTGCTGGCGTCTGAGTCGGACTGGAGCTCTCTGCCCTTTACCAATCCAGCCACGGGCCCATCCAATCAAGACTCACTCTCATTTCATCAGTCCATAAAACCTTAGAAAAATCAGTCTTGAGATATTTCTTGGCCCAGTCTTGACGTTTCAGCTTGTGTGTCTTGTTCAGTGGTGGTCGTCTTTCAGCCTTTCTTACCTTGGCCATGTCTCTGAGTATTGCACACCTTGTGCTTTTGGGCACTCCAGTGATGTTGCAGCTCTGAAATATGGCCAAACTGGTGGCAAGTGGCATCGTGGCAGCTGCACGCTTGACTTTTCTCAGTTCATGGGCAGTTATTTTGCGCCTTGGTTTTTCCACACGCTTCTTGCGACCCTGTTGACTATTTTGAATGAAACGCTTGATTGTTCGATGATCACGCTTCAGAAGCTTTGCAATTTTAAGAGTGCTGCATCCCTCTGCAAGATATCTCACTATTTTTGACTTTTCTGAGCCTGTCAAGTCCTTCTTTTGACCCATTTTGCCAAAGGAAAGGAAGTTGCCTAATAATTATGCACACCTGATATAGGGTGTTGATGTCATTAGACCACACCCCTTCTCATTACAGAGATGCACATCACCTAATATGCTTAATTGGTAGGCTTTCGAGCCTATACAGCTTGGAGTAAGACAACATGCATAAAGAGGATGATGTGGTCAAAATACTCATTTGCCTAATAATTCTGCACTCCCTGTATTTTTAAACCTTTGTCCCTCTAATTTAAGACTATGTCCTCTTGTTGTGGTAGTTTTTCTTCTTTTAAATATAGTCTCCTGCTTTACTGTGTTGATTCCCTTTATATATTTAAATGTTTCTATCATATCCCCCCTGTCTCGTCTTTCCTCCAAGCTATACATGTTAAGATCCTTTAACCTTTCCTGGTAAGGTTTTATCCCGCAATCCATGAACCAGTTTAGTAGCCCTTCTCTGAACCCTCTCTAAGGTATAAATATCCTTCTGAAGATACGGTCTCCAGTACTGTGTACAATACTCCAAGTGAGGTCTCACCAGTGTTCTGTACAATGGCATGAGCACTTCCCTCTTTCTACTGCTAATACCTCTCCCTATACAACCAAGCATTCTGCTAGCATTTCCTGCTGCTCTATTACATTGACTGCCTACCTTTAAGTCATCAGAAATAATCACCCCTAAATCCCTTTCCTCACATGTTGAGGTTAGAACTCTATCAAATATTCTGTACTCTGCCCTTGGGTTTTTACGTCCAAGATGCATTATCATGCACTTATCCACATTAAATGTCAGTTGCCACAATTCTGACCATTTTTCTAGTTTACCTAAATCATTTGTCATTTGGCTTATCCCTCCTGGAACATCAACCCTGTTACATATCTTAGTATCATCAGCAAAAAGACATACCTTACCATCAAGACCTTCTGCAATATCACTAATAAAACTATTAAAGAGAATGGGTCCAAGTACAGATCCCTGAGGTACCCCACTGGTGACAAGTCCAAGCTTCGAATATATTCCATTAACTACAACCCTCTGTTGCCTGTTACTCAGCCACTGCCTTACCCATTCAACAATATTGAATCCAAACTTAAAGATTGCAGTTTATTGATAAGCCTTCTATGTGCAACAGTGTCAAAAGCCTTACTGAAATCTAGGTAAGCAATGTCTACTGCACCACCCTGATCTATAATTTTAGTTACCCAATCAAAAAAATCAATAAGATTAGTTTGGCATGATCTCCCTGAAGTAAACCCATGTTGTCTCTGATCTTGAAATCCATGTGTTTTAGATGTTCATCAATCCTATCCTTTAACATGGTTTCCATCACTTTCCCCACTACTGAAGTAAGGCTTACTGGCCTATAGTTGCCCGACTCCTCCCTATTACCTTTCTTGTAAATGGGCACAACATTCGCTAACTTCCAATCTTCTGGGACTACTCCTGTTAACAATGATTGGTTAAATAAATCTGTTAAATCTGACCTTTTACATCACTCCTCCAACAAAAGCAGATTCCATACCAGTGGCGGTAATCCCGTACCTTAATGATCCAGCACGGGGGGAACAAGCTCCAGGTAAGAGATCTCGAGGAGGCAAAGGCCACACTGCCCACCCTTAATCTACCTCCTGACGCCCTGTCACTAACCAGAGCAGAGGCAGCAGGCAGCACTCCACACCAATTGAACCCCAGAAGCAGTGATCCCTTTCTCCCCCCGACGGCCGATGCAGCGGCCACCACCTGAGGACATTGTTGAGACGGACAGTTCTCTAATACCACTTCCTCAGACACTGCCTAGGGCAACAGTTAACAATGCTAATTTTTCTGCTCATCTTTTTACACATTTTTGGCCCACGTTTATAAATTCCAGCCCCACTAAGATATACACATATGAGAGCTCACACACAAACAGCTCACCCGAAGCTTGACAGCCTACCTTGAGCCCCATACATCCCCCCCCTCCCCCCCCACACACCTCCTAAGACCTATGTACATATAATACTAATTTGACTAGTACTGGAGGCAGTCAGCAGCGAACTACTAACCCACTCCGGAACAAACACAACACACCAGAGATACTTAATAGTGCCCGGAGATGGATGGCCGACTCTATACCTATCATCACACACAGCCTGTTACACACAATACTCCACCTTAACAACAACACTTAAACATTTAAAATGTGCTATTTAAATGCATGCCATGATACCATTGTTCCTTGAATGCTTTAATAACGTTAGGTATAGCTATTGTGGCATACTGAATTTGTCTGTTAATATGTGCACAATACAAATAAAGAATTTAAAAAAAATACAAAACTGTACATAGTGTAATAATGTATATATACAGCTATTTAAGTACACAGAGGTTATGGGTCACTCACTCTTCCCAGAGCCACGTATAGCAGGCTCTGGCTGTGATGGCTTATCAACAGATTAAGTTGCTGGAATGAATCCTGGAATTCTGTTACTCCCAAATATTCAGGAAACTTGAAGGGTTTTCACAAATAGATTTACTTCAATGAAGTGCAGAAAACAGGATATAGCAGCAGACAAATAATAAAAAATGTCCAAAGTAAAAGCACAACACGATTCTTGTCCTGAAAATGATTTAAAGCCTGTAAAAATTCTAAACCTAAAATTAAGAAAATTGAACGCTTTAAATAATTTTCAGGATAAGAAAAATTCCAAATAGGATCCTTCATCACTTTAAATTCTAAAAGTGTTGTGTATGTGCAAATAATGTATGTTTAGCTTTTATGTATAGATATAAAAGCAAGAAATATCACATTGCGTGGTGGTGTTTTTATTTTGTACTTGTTTTTGCATATGATTCCAATTGCCTACTAAGTAAAATACATATTTTGTTTGTAAACTTTCAAAGAAAAATGCAGTTTTCCAAACCAATGTTTCCGTACTGATACAAAGAGACCTATGTTCTTGTAAAACAGAGGAGTTTGTCATGTTACTGTAGGAGTCTCAAACACAAATTATAAGGGTTTAGACATTGTTTGAGAAATGATAAACAGTGACATATTAACTAGAGCATATATGACCATCACATTTATTTTGTTTTAAGAGTTTTCCAAAAGTTTAATCACACATGGCAAAGAAGAAGACATATTTATAAATAGCATGCTAAAATAAGTTCTGTGGGTAGGCAACATGATGATACAATATAGAAAAAAGAGAGGAGATACAGCACTAAGTCAAAAGTCAGCTAAATAGAGTCTGTTACTTGGATACCCCAACAATCCAAGAAGAAGCATGAGGAAAGGAAGAGAAGAGACTGCATCAAATATGAATTACTGAATAAGCAAGTATAGATATGTATATATAGACATAAAATATGAATAATTTGTATACTTTATTTAAAATAGCTTGAAATATAATAAATGTCCCAAAGAGAAAGTCTTTATGGTAATAAACCACCTGTTGGAAAAAGTGCTCTTCTTGGAGGTCAACCTGATATCCTCCTTGAGAGACAAGTAGATAGATCTACAGAAGAGACGAGCCATTCTGTTATTGGTGTCTCATATGAAATAGAAACACAAGAAAAACACCAGTAGTGTAACCCAGTTTATACAATATCTTAGGTTATATACAGATAAGATACACTCACACGGAGTGACAAAGGCAAAAAAGGACCACAAACTGGTGGTCACAGACCTCTCTTTTAGCGTTAGTATCATTTTAGCTGGGATATCCAACAGAGGGTATCTCTAAGGTCCTGGGTAATATTAGAGTTATGTTAGGATACAGTTAGGATTAGCGTTAGGTGTAGGAATAGGGTAAAGTAATGGTTATTGCTAAGCGAGAGTTAATGCTGTTTTAGGGTTAGGGATACTTTAGGGTTAAGGTTAGTGGTAAAGTTTTAGTAGTCATATAGTAAGAGTCAATGCAACCCCTAGGGTTAAGAGTGGTATAGAGGTGGGAGGGACATATAAGTCATTTAACAATCAGGAAGAGGGCCGTGGTTTAGACATCAAACTGCAGGGATGGCTGAGCTGAGAGCTCCCACAACTGTGCCGGAAAAATGGCTATTCTAATCGCTCTTTGCAGGTGTACCCTACCTCAAGCAGTTCTTCAATTGCTCACCATAAAGGATTTACAAAATAAGCATCATAAAAAAGAAACAATTTTTTGACTTTACTATTTCCAGCCTACCGCTAAACTTAGATGGGATCCCAGATGGCGCCTACCTAAGTACATAAGACCCTCCGTGATGTTGCAGAGTTGAATTCTTTGATCTCATGCTCTAATGGCACCACTTAAATCCTTTATCAAAAGAAAACAGAACATATTTAGCTCAGGAAATAGAGTGGAGTGATGCAAACATAAAGTCAGAAATTCAAGCCTTAAAGGTGAGAATCATGGACCTGGCGATATGGATAGAGGGAGTGATGGCAGCCCACAATGCTCTGGTATATAGATCTAACAACATGCACTACAGGCTGTACACTTTGGAATCGATGATGCAGGATCTTTCCAATTGTTCTCAACACAACAACTTGAGACTGATTGAGTGATGGCTGCCTGGATGGGTCTAACAACATGCAGGACTGGATGTCCACTTGGAATCGATGATGGAGGGTCTTTCCAATCGCTCCCGTAGCAACAACTTAAGATATCAGATATCAGATTTTGACTGCCCGAATCGTCAGGTGAGAACTCCTGCAGGTTATCTTAGATATATATAGGTCCCTATTTCGAGAGATACCTGATAATAAATGGCTCACAGGTCACTCAGAGCCCACATGGCAATGGGGGACACCCTGAAGAGATGGATTAGTTCACTTCCACTATCACACCTAGGAAGCTATACTTCATAAATGCAATTGAAGCAAAACTCCCATTTGCCTGGGAACATCTATTTAAATTACTAGCATTTTAACAAGGAAAGACCCAAGTCTTTCTGCCTTCTGGGAACCATCACAAATTTCTGCTATCACTGGGAGTCTCTGATGATATCTAATTACCTCTCCTTTCCATGCTGTTACAATATTACACCTACCTACAAATTGGACCATTGCAGAGGAAACACAGACTACATAGTACTCTACCTGAAGACTATTAGAATCGGACACGTATCTTATCCTGTGTATATTACTATAAGTTGTTAACTTATGAACGTATTAGACAGGATGCTTATCCTCAAGAGTCTATCCTTTAGATTCTATGATACTATTTAATCCTCTCCATACTGGCCCCCTTTTTATCCTTACAGGGCAATCATCCATTTAGCTTTTGTTACTATGCTAAAATAGGCTAACACAATAAAGGCCAGATATATTTCTATTTAAGCACTGATATTGGCTGACCCCAGAGCATTACTCTCTAGAGGAAAATGAGTAGCCATATAAGGTTAGGTCTTTCCTTTTATACACTTTATGGGATTCTGTTATGTGACCCCTTATTTCAGTACTGTATATACTTGAGTTGTTTTGGACTGGTTAATAGATATTTAACATACTTTTCCAGGTCACACTTGTATATGGTGGACTAAGTGGGTTCTTTGTGCATATTTAGTAATAAATACTACACAATAAAGAGACTTTAAAATATCTATGCAACACCTTCTGCTTACTGCTTTTATTACTACAATTATACCAATAGGCTGACAAGAGATGATAAAAGAGAAATAATGAGGACTTACAGTCTTCTGGCACCATTCAACTTTTAGAGCATTTCAGGCTCCAGATATGATTTCTTCATAACATGGGATGTGGACACCACATGGGCAGATAGAATGGACTTGTTTGGTATGGAAGTGATATGCCACCCTCAAAGCAAAGACTCTGGATGTATTTTACGTCTTATGTGGAACACTATATCAATATATCAGTGAGAGTATATTATTTTATTTTAATAATAATAGTAGCTAACCAGTTTGCAATCTTTTTAAAAAATAGTCTATGGGACTGCTATGTATCCTTTTCATGATACATTATCTCTTAATTTTGCTTAATTGTTGATCTATCCCAGTTTAATGTACTATCCTAGTTTTTTTTCACATGTTGTATGGTTATTATAAAGTGAAAAATAAGAGTTCTCCTTCAATGTCTGTGCTCCTGGTGTTCAGGGGCATTTCCCACCCTCCAGGTGGCTGCTGTTTATGGACAGGGAGGCTGGGCTACCCCTATTTGACCTGGTAGCAGGTTAGAGCAGGTTCTATTTCAAGCACATTTTTGTGTTCTTGTAGTGTTTATTGTTTTGTTTTTCCTTTTTCTTTCTCCACTGCCATGCTAAATGCTGTGGAGGAGTACAAAGTGGTTGGCTTATAACTTCATATATGTCCTTCTTATATTTTTCCCTTCCTGAGAATCGCCTACTATTTTACTGACTAACGACTCTTAAAATTATCTTATTGAATGGAAAAGACTTGAATAATCCCAAAAAAGAGGCACCTTTTATTCAATTAATTCAAAAGGATTAAAGCAGATATTGCCATCATTCAGGAGACCCATATATCCAAGACATTTCAGAAAAGTAATGGCGTTGATATTCTAATCCATAAAAAATTAAATTTTCAGGTGATTCATTTTCTAAGGATACTGAAGGCAGGTATGTTTCTCTTACAGGGAGGTAGGGCAGCAAACTCTTCCACCTCCTAAATATATACGCTCCTAACTCTGTAGATAAACAATTTTGTGATGTGATATTGACACTAGTGAGACTTTATTTATGGATATCTTCATGATAGGATTCTGTAATGCTGTCCAATGTCCAGCAGCCGACTGTAGTTCTCTACCTGGGGAGCTCAGATCTCAGGAACTGGGGGTTCAATATAGATTTTTTAGCAAAGTTCATGATTCCAATGGAGCACAGCATCCAGACACTGCCAATTATACCTTTTATTCAGCAAATCATGGCACATACTCTCAAATTGTACTGTTCCTTAAAAAGGGCCACACCAATCATTATTAAGTCTGAAATAAACATTTTTATGGTTTGGATCCTTGCAGACATAGCTTTTTAAGATCTCACTCCCTCTGTTCCTTGACCGCGGCAATTAAACACCCATTTGCTGAAAGATCAGACTGTTTTCAAGAAAACAATTTTCTAGGGGCTGAAACTTCCACAATATGGTCAGCACACAAGGTTAAATTGATATATTGATAAATATAGCCACTCACAAGAAGAAGGCTAAGATGCAGACACTCCTTGATTTCCAAAAAGCACTACATAAAGCTGAATCTCTGCATAAAACTAGTCTTAATGCTGATCCATTGAAAAAACTGGGGGCCATTAGAATTCAAATTAAACGTTTATTACTAGATGACGTAGCCCATCAATGTACATGGTCCCTAATGTTCTTTTATGAGAAAGCTAATAAGATGGATACCCTTTTAGCAAGGTCTATACGACCTATGATCAGGACAAAATCTGCAACATGATGCCTTTAGTGTTTTCTATTTCACTCTGTATAATAATACTCCATCACACTCTTCTGCTAACCAGCCTTACATAGCCCCCTTGCACAATTTCTTTAATTCATTAGATCTTCCTCCTATCCCGACCTCCCTGCAGGAGATGCTGGGAGAAGAGATTACTCTGGAGTCGCTCTTTGAGGTCATCTCTACTTTGAATGGCGGTAGGGCCCTGGGACCGGATTTTTTCCTTTTTGACACTAGTTCATACTACAAAGGAAGTCTTGACTTTTTACTCCCCAACTTAACATCTCTCTACAATAAAGTATTACTGGGAAAGGTGTTGTCTTCAGAGATTACCTTAGCATACATTGTATTACTTCTAAAAGGTGGGTAGGTACCCCATTCGGGTGGGAAACTACAGACCAATCTCTTTAATAAACCAATAAGTCAAAATTTTTGCTAAAATACTGGTAATTGGATTGAATCCTGTTTTAACTATTCTGGTCCATCCTGATCAGGTTGGTTTTATTTCGAATCATCAACTTTATGAAAATACTAGATGAATTATAGATCTGGTATGGAGGACTTGATCTATGGGCCTACCTTCTTTGTTTCTTTCTCTAGATAGAGTGGAGTAGTGTAACGAGAATATACCCCTACACGCAGGATCCAGCTAAACAGAGGCAAATACAGAGGAGAGATACGTCTACCGGACCTTAGAATGGCCGGACTCGACGTATATGAGAGAAGACAGAGCCAGGAACAAACCGAGGTCAAGGGCACAGAGAGACAGCGTAAACTAGGACAAGCCGGGGTCTGGTACACGGAAAACAGCAAGCCGGCAAACAGTACAGATAAGGATAAAGCGAAAACGAAGTCAGAATACGAAGCCAAAGTCAATACGAGAAAACACAACTGAACACCACAAGCGCTAAAGGGAACTGAAACAGAAACCACGATAGGGCAACGAGCTAAGGGAAAAAGGTAAGTTTAAATAGCTTTAAAACGAAAGTGATTGGCTCCTGTCACTTCCACACCCCCTATAGGTAATTGTACAGGGAGTGTGGTATGACAGGAGCCAATGGGAGCCTTTTGGCAATTAGGCTCCCACTGTCTCTTTAAGAGCGCGCCCGAGACTCGCGGCGCGCTCTTAGTTTCAGGCGGGACACGTGACCGCCTCACGCGGTCACTGCCCGCCTTCCATCCAAAGTAGTTGGATGAGCAGCGCGCGGCTCGTGCAGCCGCAGGACCGCGCGCGGCTTGAAGAGAGGACCGCGACCGGCCCCCGGTTAAGGTAAGTAACGCTACAGTACCCCCCCCTGAGGACACGCCCCCCGGGCGGGTAGGACCAGGCCTGGCAGGAAAACGTGAATGGAAAGAGCGCACAAGACAGGGAGCATGGACAGCATCGGCCGAAATCCAACTGTGCTCCTCAGGCCCATAACCCTTCCAATGTACCAAGTATTGAAGTTGACCCCTAAGGAAACGAGAGTCAAGAACAGCAGACACTTCAAACTCCTCATGACCCTCTACCGAGATAGGAGGGGGAGGAGGAGTATGCCGGGTATAGCGGTTGCGCACGGAAGGTTTCAACAATGAGGTGTGAAAAACATTAGGAATACGTAGATTCTTAGGCAGGCCTAAGGCATAAGAAACAGGATTAACCTTATGTATAATACGATAAGGTCCAATGAAGCGGGGAGCCAATTTCATAGAAGGCACCCGGAGACGAATATTCAGCGTGGAAAGCAAAACCCTGTCCCCCACAACATAGGACGGAGCTGCTCTGCGATGCTTGTCAGCCTGAGCCTTCTGGCGAGTAGCAGAGTCCACCAAAGAGCGCTGAACCTGCTCCCAAGTATTACGCAAACCAGCCAAATGCTCATCCAGAACTGGCATGCCCTGTGAGGAGAATGCAGCCGGAAGAACAACGGGATGCTGGCCATAGACAACGTAAAAGGGCTCTTGCCGGAAGAATCATGAGTGGCGTTATTCCGAGCAAATTCAGCCCAAGGAAGCAGGTCAGACCAATTGTCCTGATGGTGAGACACAAAACAACGGAGGTATTGCTCCAGAGACTGGTTGGCACGTTCAGCAGCCCCATTAGACTGGGGATGATAAGCGGAAGAAAATGAGAGAAATACCCATTTCTGAACAAAAGGCCCTCCAGAACCTGGAAATAAATTGGCTACCCCTATCGGATACAATAGATACGGGAATCCCATGTAATCGAAATACTTCTCTAGCGAAGATATGAGCCAGTTCCTTGGATGTGGGCAACTTGTGAAGAGACACGAAGTGAGCCATCTTGGAAAACCGATCCACTATCATCAGGATTACTGTGTTACCATTTGAAGGGGGCAATTCAACAATAAAATCCATGGACGGGTTAGACCAAGGTCTCTCGGGAACGGGTAACGGATGCAACAGCCCACAAGGAACTCTACGGGAGGATTTCATACAGGCACAAGTAGTACAAGCACTTATATAGTCAGTGACATCCTTTTGTAAGGAATCCCACCAAAAATACCGAGAAACAGCTGACACCGTTTTGGAAATACCAGGATGTCCAGCAGTCTTAGTATCATGATATAATGACATAATATCCCGTCTCTCAGGAACATCAACGAACAGTTTATCATTAGGCCTCTAGCTAGGTGCCATGCTTTGTTTCGCTTGTATGGCCTGCAAGAGGGACGAGGAAATAGACAAAATAGTAGTAGCTATTATCCTGTCTGGGGGAATGACAGGGGTAACATCAATCTCCTGTTTGTCAGTAGTTTCGAACTGTCTGGACAGAGCGTCTGCTTTAGTGTTGCGATCACCTGGCCTATAGGTGATAATAAAATTGAAACGGGACAAAAATGGTGACCACCTAGCCTGCCTGGAAGACAATCTTTTGGCTTCGCTAAGGTAGGATAGGTTCTTGTGATCCGTAAAAATGAGGATAGGATCCTTAGTTCCTTCTAACAAATGTCTCCACTCTTTAAGTGCTAAAATAATAGCAAGGAGTTCGCAATTACCCACATCATAATTTTTCTCTGCTTTGGACATTTGTTTAGAAAAGAAACCGCATGGATGCAATGGCTTCTCGGGCGACTCTCTTTGGGATAAGACAGCACCTACCCCAATATCCGAAGCATCAACTTCAAGAATATAGGGCAGTGAGGGGACAGGATGCTGTAAAATAGGTGCAGAAGCGAACGTAGTTTTAAGAAATTCAAAAGCCTGAAGTGCCTCGGTAGACCAAACACGAGTATTGCCATCCTTTTTAGTCATACGGGTAATAGGTGCTACAATGGACGAGAAACCTTTGATAAAACGTCTATAATAATTGGAGAACCCAAGAAAACGCTGAATAGCTTTCAGACCTTGCGGTAGAGGCCATTCTATTACAGCAGCTAGCTTCTGGGGATCCATACGAAAACCTTTAGCGGAAATCAAATACCCCAAGAACTGGACTTCGGTTTGGTCAAACAGACATTTTTCTAGCTTGCAATAAAGACCATTAGCAAGAAGGGTCTTCAAAACTGTCGTAACATGTCTGTGATGAGTGTGTATATCTGTAGAATATATTAAAATGTCGTCCAAGTATACGATAACAAATGTGTGAATAAAATCTCTCAAGACATCATTAATAAATTCTTGGAATACTGCTGGGGCATTGCAAAGCCCAAATGGCATAACAGTGTATTCGTAATGACCGGATCTAGTGTTGAATGCAGTCTTCCATTCGTGATTTTCCTTTATACGTATCAAATTGTATGCACTCCTAAGGTCTAATTTAGTGAACACAGTGGCATGTTTCAGCCTGTCAAATAATTCTGTGATCAAAGGTATAGGGTATGCATTTTTGATAGTGATTTTGTTTAGACCTCTATAATCTATACACGGTCTTAAATCACCTTCTTTCTTCGATACAAAGAAGAACCCTGCTCCAGCTGGAGAAGAGGATCTCCTAATAAACCCTTTTTCTAGTGATTCCTTGATGTACTCCTCCATGACACGGTTTTCTTGAACCGATAAGGGGTACACCCTGCCCTTTGGAGGTATAGTGCCAGGCAACAAGTCAATAGCGCAATCATAGGGTCTGTGAGGCGGTAATTTCTCAGCCTCCCTTTTATCGAAAACAGTCTTTAGAGATAAATACTGAGGGGGTATAACCGTAGACAAAGGAGGACTGGTAGGTACCTCAATAGAATTCAAAGGTGT